TGGTAAGTTAATATGTGCAGACAACAATCCACACTAGGTTGTTATGGGAATATCTTTGTACAAGTCAGATACGTTCTCATTCGTATACAATAGGCAATTCCAGGGGGAGGAGTAAGGTATCATATTGCTAGTTATCCTGAAAAAATAAAAATGGTGGCCGTGTAAACACGAAGTGATAGCTTATACTTGTAAATATTGAAATATTTCGGTTGTCTCTACAGTTTGTATTGAATTTTTTCAGCATAATCAGCAATATGATACCTTACTTCCCGTCACCCCCTGCGTGCATAAATTAAAAGCTGGAATTGCCAATTGTGTGTTCCAATGCGGGGACGATACTGCTCGTCTTTAATGCCTGATATGAAGACTTGTATATATGCACCTAAAAATTAAACAATTTAAAATTATACAGTTAATTCATTCGTTTCAAGTTTCAACGGGTAAAATACTTCGACCAAAACACATTGTAATTTGTGATCAAACTTTTCATCTTACCTTGAAACTGAATATTTCGATAAACAGCCAGACATAAAATTTGCGGCAAGCCAACTACAAAATCTACAGCAGCCAGAAGGCAACGAGGCATACATGTAACATGTTTACAAATTGTCACGGTCCGTGGTGATGTTCGCGAGGTTCAACCAGGGTATTTGGAAAGTCAAATCGCGATCTGGATTGTCGTTCGGCTACACGCGTAAAAACGCTGAGCCCGCTGGCACTGTTTAACAGGATTGAACAATTTTCGCTGCCCACGTTGTTCACACTTGTCAACAATATTGCATGAACAATATTGTTGAGCCTGAATCGGTGTAATAATATTGTTCAATATTGTTAACAACTGTGAGTGAACAATGTGGGCAGCAAATTACAGCATTGTTCAATCCTGTTTTCATCAATATTGCAACAACCTGATCGTTTTTAGCCGTGTATACATAACTCGGCCAAAGAGACTGGGCACACGTAAACGCAATACTTCATGTTCAGAATAGTGTGCTGCCGCCTTCGGCAGCAATTATATAGACGGCAATCTGTCGGTCAGTTTTGACAAGATTTAAAGTAATTTTTTCTACTCTTCCGTTTCGATGCACGTAACTTTCATTCCATACTGATATTTAACATTTATTGTGACTGGGACCATAGGCGTACCGGGCGGGGGGGGGGGGCGGTAGCCCCCCCCCAGTTTTTTGGGCAGTCGGGCAATATTCGATCAACAGTCGGGCAATTTTGGCTTGCAATAAAAAAAATGGGACAAATTCTGTCAATTTTGTCTAAAATTAAGTCAATTTTTTGGGAAATTTTGCGATTTTTCGAAAATTTGTGTTATGTTCCGAGAAAAAAATTGGTTGTCCGGAAAAATTTTTTGACCCCTAAAATGGTACACTGACCGAAATTTTTTTGGCGACGGGGGGGGTAGGTCGCCAAAATAATTTTTCCGGAAAATTTTTTTTGATACTAGTCGGGCAGAATTCGAAAAGCCGGGCAATTTTCTTTCCGCCCCCCCCAATTTTTTCCTTCCGGTACGCCCATGACTGGGACCAAGGGAAACAATATGTTTTGTGTACCCAAATGGTATGTTTTGTGGACCACAAAACATACTATTTCCCGAAAGTCCCAGTCAAGTATTTTATTACCCACCAAGTGTCAAAGAGACAAGAAACAAAAAGAAACGGGAAACTTTCATAATTAATTTTTGCTTTATAACTCGATGATTTTATTCAACCGCTCACAGTTGTTGTCAGGAGACAACACGTGACTTTCACGTGATACGCTCTCATTCAATGAGCCTCAAGAAAACATGAACTTGGCATTCGATATATAATAAATTCAGTGCCGCGATCTTTTACTTTTTGTCATCAACCAGTTTCAAAATATATACTCTACCTGTGATTTTTTAATTATTTCTGTCAACATGTGTCATGTCCTCACGTAACGTCATGCATGTCATGTCAAACACGTACATTAGTACATTTAGATTCCATTCAAGCGAAGTAAAAATAGGATCGCTTCGTACGTTTTTGACTTGTTGTATACTGATATTATTGTTCGCCTCGCCCAAAAAATTTTGCCTATTGGAAAATGGCGTTAAAATGAGGTAACGCGAGGAGCCGTACTTCCTTAATTCGTAATTTCATGAATCAAGACGAAATGTAATTGGCAGAGATATTTGTGACGTCATTTCAAGAATCTGATTTTAATAGTTAGAAACACCTGAAACAATATGTGTTAACATTCTTAATAAACATGAGTTGAAATAACTCGTTTTCTTTATAGCAGTTTTACGAGGTTCGCGACCACCTCACGCAAAAATGTTGAGACTATATGTTGAGAGTAGTAGCTAGTTATTTTTTACATTTATGCGCGGTCACTAATTCAATATCGGAAAGCCCACTAACTTCGATGACGACTCACGAATTTTATAATTATAAGCGATGAGTCATCGCGTTCAATTATACTGAAATTCATTCAGTCATGCAGATTTCAACGCGGATTTCCAGGCATGATATAGTTGAAAATGTACGCGCATAAGTTGTTATGTTGCTCATATGGATTACCTTTTTAAACCATAAAATTTAAAAATAGTACTATTTGATATGCCTCGATTAGATATAGCCTGATACTTTTATAGAACTATTTGAAATGGTACTACTATACTTGATATAAAGTATTCCGTGCACTTAATTAAATTGAATCAAACTCGCTACCAATCCCCGTTGTCGTTGACTCGATAACTCAGCTAGAGCGGCAGTCTAGAAACACGAATATGCGAGTTCGAATCCCGCTCGAGACAACGAATTTTTCGTTGTGCTGTGTCAGAATAATTTGATAAATGCTTGCCACATGCAGTTCTTCAACAGGTTGTCATTAATATACTAAGTTCACGATCCGTAATTGTTGCTTTAATGGACGTCATGCTGGACGTCACAATATTCTTTAATTACCTTTGCTCCATCATAAGAGACTAATTTTTAAATTATCATTAGAAGTTAGGCTGCTTCAAGCCGTTATCACGCAATATTTATTGTTCTCGGCGAAATTAAGGAATATTGTCAAAATGAAAGAATACTATATCCAGCTGTCAGCCTTGATGATGTCAAACAAAGATGAGTGCATATGCATGAGAGTTTGGCAGTAACGCAATCTTGGTTATAGCTTTTTGTTATTATTGCTTTTCCAACACTATCGTGCATTCTATTGAAGTTAAAACATGAGTTAGAACACGCATCAAACCTTTATTTTGTTAATCTATAGTTTGAAATGTCCCGCGCAACATTGCGTGATGACTGCCAATGCAACTGTCATCAAATATCATCGTTTGACCGGGGCTTTATAAGTATACTAATAGGTATACCTATTCGATTTTCGGGAGTGTTTAAAACTCATTAAATTGGCCACGTAATTGTGGCTAATATATAGTGTTCTATATATAGTTTTATATACCGATTGATTCCAGCTTGTTTACGCGGGAACGCCCCCTTAAAACTACTTTCAAGCACTTAATCAGTTTTAAGATTATAAATATTCTATTTCTCAAAGACGACTTAATATTATTCATATAAGGTTGTTTGTAATTATGACACAATCTTTGTTATATATAGTGCTACGCACGATACGTGACGAAGTAGAGCAATGGAAAACTGGACACAAAATAAACACATCTATATAAATTCTATATTGTAGTATAGTTTTCATTAAATATTTCAAAACATAACAAGTTAGAATATCATACATTTAAACATGGTTTAAATTTCCTCATCGTAGTGCATGGTTTCATTACAGACAAAGTCCTCTATCATGTTCAATTCAACACTCCACAGGTAAGATTGAATACATAAAGTCTCAAACGTGTTGCCAGTTTTTAAAGTTAATCATTGTTGAGTACTTTATTCAGAAGCATTTTTTAACGGCTACGTTTTGTAAAGGTATTTTATTTGCTGAAAGTGAGCGTTTCTGTTAATGTGTACAGTCGTATCTGATTAGTCACACAAAGTATACTTTGTAGTGCTTTGTAGTGCCAGTGCTTTGTTGTGAGCCTTTGTATTAATAACTGAGTGCTTTGTGTTATTAAGTGCTTTGCATTAAATAGTCGTTGTAGTGCTTTGTAGAGCATTATCATTTGTGTACTTTGCGTGAACTTCGTATGTTTCTAGACTTTCTATTGAGCATGCAGTGCAAATATTCTGTTGACATAGTGTGTCAGCTAATGCACTCTAAAAACAGGTGTGTTCAATTACACACCAAGGTGTGTTTAATTACACACCAAGGTGTGTTTAATTACACACCAAGGTGTGTACATTTTACACACCTTCCTATACAATTTTAGAAAACACCCCTTTGTGTGTTAGAAAACACACCATGATGTGTTAGAAAACACACCATGGTGTGTAACAAAACACACCTAGGTGTGCTAAGAAACACACCTGTATTTTACATACCTTTTCTTACACACCTTTGATGCATAAAGGGGGGTTCAATAACACACCTTTTGAATGAAAACACACCTTGGTGTGTTCGAGAACACACCTCATACTAATTTGCAAAAACACATCTTGGTGTGTTAGATAACACACCCTACGCCGATTTTGGAAAACACGCGTGCACGGTGTGTACTGAAAAATGCTTTTTAGTAGCATACAATAAATCCAATCATCAATCACGGTAATGTATGCTATAATATGTTTTTCGGATATATACAGTAGATGTAAATGGCGATATCGACTTTGCCGGCGATATCAAGTTTTACGTGTCTAATAACCGTTTGATATTTGTTGTGTAGTATTTTATTTTTTCGCATGTAGTAAGAGCATTACTGGGACTATTTATTTTCTAAGAGATTAATCTGTCTTTAGCACACCATTAATATCTGAAATATAGCCGGTAACTGGCCTTTTGAAGCTCTTCGGATCGAAAGAAACGAAAATTCTCACGATGAGCGCGATTTTACAGACTGGTGCCTAGTTTTCGTACTACGCGCGCAAAGCTTCCCGGGTGAATTGATGGGTTCGAAAAATTCGCTTTTTTTAAGCGACGACGAATGATTTGAACGAAGAGGAAACAGCGGGCATGACTGAATAACATTCAGGTAAGCATATTGTTATGTTATATGTATAATGGAGCAGTTTTGAAAGTAAATATTCGCTATCTTCATTCATGAATTTTGAGCATGTGTTCATGTTTAAAATTTGAATTTGCCGCGACAATATTTGAATTAAAAAGATGATATATTAGTTTTATAGAAAGGCTGACATTTGACTTTATATTAAATTATGTTTATTGTATAAAGGGCAACTAATATTTGTGTATATGAATATATGACAGACTACCTATAACAATGTTTCTGGTATAAAGTATAAATATAGCTTGGCATCTACTCAATTATCATGTGCTCAACTACACATGTCCCAGCTAAACATGGTTTGAGAAAATGTAACCACTTGTTTCAAATCAACTGCTACTTTCATAAGTTTCTAATTTTTATATATCTAGGTTTTTTATGTCCAAATTCTTCAATCAATGAAAAAATCTATTTCACTGTTAGAGGTGTTATGCACCAGTCAATGAAAACCTATACAACTCAGCCCCCCCACCCCACCCCCCGAATATAAGCCCAGTAGCCCACTACGTTATTCAACATTGACATTGTCTTTTAATTAACCCATTAAGCTGCGGAACTTCCCCATTGACAAGTAAAATTGTCTGGCATAAGACAAGTAAAAAAATAAGTAAGGCACACTGGGGCGCATTGCGGCTTGATGGGTTTACCAGAGACATAATTTGTCAAATTTTTTGGTCAACCCATTAAGCTGCAGAGTTTCCCCATTGACGAGCAAAATCGTTTGGCGTTAGACAAGTGAAAAAAAAGTAGAGCGCACTGGGGCGCGTTGTGGCTCAATGGGTTAATATATCAGAGAACAATATTTAAAAACATTGTCTTTATAGCTTAAGTCAACGACAAAACGTCGTTAATTAATCAAAGTGCATTATTACTATGTGTTTATTTTCCTGTTTATGACTGACTTGTTTATTATACTAACACAAAAGATTGAATGTCCATGTATAAGCTCTATCCCTCTTATATACTGTAACCCCCCCCCCCCCCCCTTTGTATAAGCCCACCAAATATATAGCCCAGGGTTTATAGTCCGAGATTTACGGTATTCTATGAACCCATTAAGATGTGATGTTGTGATGGATTAACAGACTGTGTGTACATGTCTCAGTTACCATTAGCACTTACATACCCTAATTTAACCCATTAAGCTGCAGAGCTTCCCCGCGTTTTCCCCGTTTCCTAGGATACGAGGCCTCATCACGATTTATGAATAAGGTCTATAGTACTCTGATTTTCCATTTAACATACAAGCCTCTAGTCCTGGGATAGGGTACATTTTGATTTACGTTGGGCAAAGCTACAGTTCGGTCGGACACAAATACACTCAGGTCGGACAAACAATAAACCTCAATTTCGCTTTGGTCGGACAGAATGTCTGGTGGTTTCCTCTCTATGTCGGACAATTTCACTAATGGGTCGGACAATGTCCATGACCGACCGATATTTTAAGGCCTGCATAGCCGGATTAACCCTAACCCGTAGTTAAAATTTATGTATTTCTACATACAGTATCTTTTTGTTTTAAAATTATGAAAAGAAAACTCCTATGGTACTGATCCAGACAAGATGTCTAAAGAAATATTTCCAAATTTATAAACAAACTGTTAGGAAGTTTGCTTAATCTAAGGTTAACTTATCGGCTTTCGAACAATCAACCCCTGCATGGTGATTTTGTTTGTCAATGGGGAGTGTGTTGGACTTAAAAGGTTTTAACCTTTCATTGAAACTAGATTGTCTGCCCACATTTTGTGTTAACACATTATTAAGATAAAAGTCAGACTGCTTTCAGTACTTCATGATTTTACTATGTCGAACATCAGAGGGTCACATTTCATATTTAACCCTTTTAGATGCAAAGGACATTTTAGTCATCCAGAGGGGGAGGGAGTCTAAGAGTAGAATCTTCTGAGACTGATAATAGTAAGATGTACTAAGACATCAATGGAATGGGGTAGGGGGGGGTTAAATTCCAAGTTTCTTTGTATGTCATGCTTAAAGTTTTCAAGGATGGATAGATCGGCTTAGATAAAAATATCAATTTGATGTTTTGTGTGGCAACTTGAATATGGACATCGCCCTAATTGGAAACAGTTAAAGTCCTTAGTTTGTTTGTTTGTTCAAACTCATGAATACATTTAGCTAGCTACACCACCCACATGATCTGCTTAGTAATATATGTAACAACCCAATTTACTCCAATTAACCCAGTTTTCAGCACTTTCTTAAATTATGTCACCTTTCCTAATGCCAGACAAGTTAATTTGTGTGTAGCTAGATTTTGCCCATGTTTCATGTTGACATATTTAGATGCAATTTTCCATAACACTCCCTACTGTAAGTACTTTAATATTGAACTGTGACGTCTCATGCTAGACAATTTTACTTATCGACTGCATGGACTCATTTCACCTATTAACACCGAAGAAACAATTTCCTCTTAAATGTTGCCTACTTTCGGTTCTTTCTAGGGGTGTGCAGGACAGAGTATTTCTGCTATCCAGCCAGATACAGGATATGCTGGATGGCTGAAAAATATCCAGCCTGATTAAGGGTATTATTCAAATAATTATATAAGGTCCAGGCATCATTTAAGGTTAAGTACTGGTAATAATTTTATTTGGTTAAAAAGTAAACAGTCTAAAACTAGTAAACCTGCATCATTGGTAGCAAACATGCATCATTGGTAGCAAAAGCCTCGTTTACATCAGTTAAAAGTTCAAATCTCCATTTACTGTACAAACAAGCATTGAAAATACTGATCATATTTATCATATTTTTACTTCAATGATCATGATATGATAACCTTATCAAATCATTTTCTAACCTGAAAAGAAGGCCTGAACCCTATATGAATAATATCCGGCATTGGGTAGCCGGATACCAGATAATGAATTAAAATCTTAATATCCGGCCAGATACAGTATCAGCCCATTGCATCCTATGTCTTGAAATGCCAAACAAATTAACTTGTTAAATGACTGTATATTGATATTCAATATACTTAGCTAATATATGCACCCTTTTATTGTTAACCCTGTGAGCAGCAATGTGCCCAAGTGCACCCTACTTTGTTATGTTGCACTTAACTAACACCAGACATTTTACTTTGTGAAATGCCAGACAATTTTACTCCTCAAGAGCAGTGTCCTGCTCACTAATGGTTATCCAAACTATCTGCCAATGTGCCTTGATAACCCATTAGGCCGAAATGCACCCAAATGGACCCGCCTTTGTTAGTTTACTCTGTCAAACGCCAGACAATTTTAGTCATCAAGAAACACCAGACATTTTACTTTGTGAAATGCCAGACAATTTTACTCCTCAAGAGCAGTGTCCTGCTCACTAATGGTTATCCAAACTATCTGCCAATGTCCCTTGATAACCCATTAGGCCGAAATGCACCCAAATGGACCCGCCTTTGTTATTTTACTCTGTCAAACGCCAGACAATTTTAGTCATCAAGAAGAGAGTCCTGCGTGCTAGTGGGTTAAATTACTTAATTACATATGTTATATATAAACGTAAGCTGTTAGATTGTCCCATTGTATATTAATTTTTTACTTATCTTGACACAGGCTTGTATGTTGGATTGATACGACTACCTGTAAATATGGTTAAACTTGGCTATGTGATTCAAAGGTTGTGGTACAATGATACAAAAAAGAAAATGATACAAAGATGGAATGATTGGATGCAAGTTATTTACAGTGTTTCATATGACAGGTATTCTGATTGTGGAAGATGTGGGCTTGCAATATTTTGACAATTGCATGGCTATAAAGTACGAGACAATTAATATAGTACTCCATTACTCTAATTGCCAGAACACTGCATCAGAATGAGAAGTGGTCTGTTACAGTTCGGTTTAGTAAAAGTACATAGTAAAAGTACATAGTAAACTATGTAAAATGTAATTTAGTCAGTGTCAAATAAATATTTTGTCATGGATAAACTCTGTGCAAATGAGCATGTCTCTAATGTCATTTTACTTTTAATAAGAATATGTAGATGTGTTTTCTTATACACCTCCTTAGGTTTGCTGTGTTATTATAGCATCTTTTGTAGGTGTGTTATGTAACACACCTTAGTGTGTTATGAAACACACCTTACAACGTGCTGTAAACATTACAGACCTGAATGGTGTGTTATACAGCACAGCTTTAGGTGTGTTTTAAAATACGCCATGGTGTGTATGAAAACACGCCATGGTGTGTATGAAAACACGCCATGGTGTGTACGAAAACACGCCATGGTGTGTTCAAAAACACACCTTTATACAAAACACACCTTAAGGTGTGTTAAAATCTGGACAAGCCGAAAACACACCTTAAGGTGGGTTTTAGAACACACCTTAAGGTGTGTTAAACACACCTTAAGCTGTGTTACAAAACACGCCAAAAGCTGTGTTAAACACACCTTAAGGTGTGTTTTAAAACCCACCTTAAGGTGTGTTTTAAAACCCACCTTAAGGTGTGTTAAAATTTGGACAAAAAGGTGTGTTAAATTAACACACCTTTTTTTAGAGTGTGTCCTTCTATACAGGTTGTGTCCTAACTGGCCACGCTATATTCCTCGTACGTTATCGAATATAAATATTTCAAAAGGTTTTAACGAAAGTATAGGTGTATGCGAAAATCTATTTCCCAATGAAAGAATTTTGAATCATCATTCATTAATGAAAGCCATCTATGTCAAATGCATGTTTCTGCGGTTTTAAAACTCATTGCATGGTCACGTTTTGACTAATATTAATAATATAGTTCTCTTTATAGTTTTATACACCGATTGATTCCAGTTAATTCGATTACCTCATGAAACGCCCCTTTTAAAACTACTTTGAAGCATTTCAGTTTTAACTTAAGGTTATAAATATTCTATTTCTCAAAGACAACTTAATATTGTTCATATATACGTTGTTTGTAATTATGATACAATCTGTTATTTATATATAGTGTTATACATGACACGTGACGAAGTAGAGCAATGTAAAACCACTAAATAAACACATCTATATATTGCTATATAATTGTATAGTTTTCATTAAACATTTCAAAACATAATAAGTTAGAATGTTATACATTTAAACATGGTTTAAATTTCCTCATCGCAATCATTATGGTTGAATTACAGACAAAGTCCTCTATTATTATGTTCAATTCAACACTCCACAGGTAAGACACACTCCAGGATATATATATATATATATATATATATATATATATACCGGGTGTCCCAAAAAAAAGTACTCCGGTTTGATTCGAAATAACTTCTAAACAAGTAAAGCTTTTAAAGAGAAATAACTTGCATCAAATAGAGGAAGGACTAACTTAGATTTTGATATAATACAGTTGTATTTCACTTAAAAATTCACGGAGATATTAATGTTTAAAATCGGGAGCATATTTCTGGATGTGTCTGAAATATGCCAAAAACAGCGTATCAAATATTAATCAAGATTTACCCGACTGAAACATGCACTATTACCTGTAAATAAATGACACTTGACAAATTGTTTATTATGAAACAAAGTATTATTATCTACAAAATACAAGCAAGATTTATTCGTCCGAAATCCGCGTGTGTTCCTAGCACGAATACGTTTCCTTATTTCATGAGACCACTGTATCGCGAAGGATCGTCATGGATCGTTCGTAGTTCTGAATTAGGGCACGCTGTCACAATGGAATTGTGAATTTTCTAACTTCACATTGAATGAATTTTCTAACTTCTGCAACGTTCTGAAATCTTGTTAAGAACACCCAAACTCTTTTGCCTTTCTTAATCTTGGCAAGTTCAGAATAAACTGAGAATGAAACACAATCAATCCATACAACTCCATAAGTAAAGACATAACAAGCATGCAACTCCCCAGAGACATCCAACATTTTTGGAACAAAACGTAACAAAATAGTAGCTTTGATACTGTGATGTGTATTTGCAAAAAGCAATATTATTTCCTCCATTAAAGAACAATATTTATCCTGCTCTAACCGAGAAATAATCAACTTTGTTTTGAACCCATGAAAAACATAAAAAAATAGGTTATTTCAGAAAAATTGAAGCGCCTGCCTTGCATGGTCGTTCATGTACCTTAAGTTTGCAAAGACCTATTAAATACTTACATAAATTCGAACGTTCATATTTCAGGAAACAATGAGTTAAGACTTACATGTAAGATGTCTAAATCTACGCCATATCCCTTACAAACCCTAACGACAATTCGCTGAAATACAAGTTACCCTGTATGTCATTAAGCAAACAAACGCTGGAGTTAAAATTTGATACGCCGATTTTCGCTAATTTTAGACACATCCCAAAATATGCTCCCGATTTTGAACATTAATATCTCCGTGAATTTTAAAGTAAAATGCAACTGTAATATATCAAAATCTAAGTTAGTCCTTCCTCTATTTAATGCAAGTTATTTCTGTTTGATAGCTTTACTTGTTTAGAAGTTATTATAAATCAAACCGGAGTACTTTTTTTTGGGACACCCGGTATATATATATATATATATATATATATATATATATATATATATATATATATATATATATATATATATATATATATGTATATATATATGTATATGTATGTGTGTGTGTGTGTGTGTGTGTGTATATATATATATATATATATAGTTTTTTCATCCCACAGGAATCATCTGATGATTTCTCTTTGATAAAACAAGCTGTTGTGGCAACCTTTTCAGGTAAAAAAGATATATATACCACGTGGCACTCATGAGATAAATTGCACAAGTGCATGATGAAAGCTTTAAAATGTTTGAAAGCCTTTTTTTGTAAAGCGCGTAAAACAATTAATATGTTAGTTGATAAGTTGACAGGACGCGGAATTATTAACAATATTTAACTTAACACAAAGCTATTAAGATTGCTCGGTGGATTTTAAATAGTATCCGTCTGTCGCTAGAGTAATTTAATTGTTAGTTATTGGTATGTTTGCGTGAAGAAACTAATATTATTATATAGCTATAATTCATTAAGTTTGTTCAAAGTAGAGTAGCTATAATATAATTCTTTAGCGGATGTTCTCGCTATCAACTCGCTCTTAATACCACATGTTTATCTCATTGCCATAAAAGGCAAGATACGTTACCTAATCATGACAATATATGCTACACGCATTATAATTATGTATATATAAAACAGAAAACGTCTGTTTGTCCCTCATTTCTCGCTTTTTACTCGTAAAATAATCGGCCGGGTTATATGTCAAACTGTTCAATAAGATATATATTGCCCAACATGCCCAGTCTTGTTATAAATGCGTCTATTATAACGTCATGCATATAATGCTCCACCTCCTCACACCTCCACCTCGTATATACCCCCCCCCCTCACTATTATGAATATTAATTAACTACTTACACCTCCTCATACTTAATTATACCCCTCTCCCTTAATGCCCTGTATATTACTAGTTATACTCATAGAAACTGCATGTATATGCATACAGCAACCTATATTTCCAAATATTGAAGTATTCGGAAATGGCAACACTAAACGCAAGCTCACGTTGTGCCTCAAGTGTTGCCCTGACAACACGATATTTTTTAATTTTTTTATATATTTTTGTACAAAACGGCAAAATATAGTTGAAAGATTAGTACTTTTAACTATACAACAATGAATTTCCGGAATATATACTGTATAGGATGTTATTTTGTGAGCTTTGCTGAAATGTAAAATTTAACTTGAAACGCTTATAGTAAAATGTTTTGAAATATTTAATTTTTTTGTTTATAAATTTTACAATCAACAAAACGATTGAAGGTACAGACAACAGGACTGAGGAGTTCCAAATTAAGTCCTACCTACACATTACATTGACATTAGGGCCATTTATACGAGACAAAGTATGTCGCGACTTACATAAGACGCGTATTATATAAGTGGAGTTATCGTATATAAATGGTTCTCTACGGCTTTAGTCTTATTTACTTGCTATAGCTATAATATTGTTTTGGTTGTTTTTGTTTTAATATGCAAGGCTAATAATTTTACGTTGTTTCAAGTTTCGGGCATGTGTAGTTAGACGTTTTATCCAAAATGTCTTATTTAAGATGCGACTTAAATAAGAACAGCTAAAAATCCTGCATGTTTTTATTTAAGTCGCGTCTTATCCAAACGCGACTTACATAAGAATTTTGTACCTTTTATACGACAAACTCGCGTCTTATTTAAGTCGCGTCTTATGTAAGTCGCGTCTTATTTTGTCCCGTATAAATGGCCCTATTGTAAAACAATTTCATTTCAGAAACATCCTCAGAGATACGAAAAACCAGTTTCATGTTATTCTGACACTGCAATCGACCAACGAAAATTTCGTTGGCTCGAGCAGGATTTGAACTCGCATCTTCGGTTATCTAGACCGCCGCTCTACCCATTGAGCTATCGAGTCAACCGGGATTGGTAGCGAGTCTTATCCAATTTAAGTGCGCGAATTATTTTCGTGAAAATACTCCGCCCAATATTCCAGTCCTTTCCTTTCTAATTATAATGTTCATTGGGTAATTTCTTAAATCAAAACCGCGTAATTAAGGAAAGGAAAACATATTCGTTGGAAAGGAAAACAGTTCATGTTTTTTATGAAAACAATTCATAAACATTAAACAGTCAAAGCAAACTTGCCCTATATTTCTCATTTCTTCAAACAAAAATTGCTTCAAAGCTCGTTGTATATGAAACAATTTTCCAAATATAAGTCTTTGAAAATTGAAATCTTGCTTATCCCACTTCTGGCAAGCAGCCATATTTTTGAGATCAGTGAGGAGGTCAACCCATACACCTTGAAGCTTGACACCACTTTAGACTTCGCTAGTGCTTTCCCTGGGTGTAAATATAGCCGGGTGGAATTAGTACCCTCGGCCCGGGCTTATGCCCGGAGCGGCGCTCAGCGCCGTTGGTTCGGGGACAAATGAATACTCATTGTTTAACTGGAAATTCTGTTTAAACCTGCAATTATTGAGGTATAGCGTATTATGGAGGGAACGTATACCTTGGATAATTAAGTACACACAAGACGAAATCTTTCATAAACGTTTTTTAGAGTTTCACGAAACACAGATTAGAAAAAAAGATTTGTTTAAATAGGATATTTGCTTGCTAATAGGAATTGCATGCCTTCCGTCTGAGATATTCGGAAGCTAGTATCTATCTCAAGGAATCTGAAAGATTAAGGCATTATTCCAAAAGGGGTTATAAGCTATACCCTAATTAACTTTTCATGTGCTGTCGAGGGCAGGCATGAAATATTTAATTTTTGGGTTTAGCATCGTCCAGTGTCTTTTTTAAGGAATTTTCTCGTGATGTTGTTTGCTGGTGAAAGTTTAACCATTGTTGAAGTTGTGAATTATAGATCCTTAGCAGCAACATACGGCATGCGTTTGTGAGATTAACACGTCGTTATAGAAACGTATGATGCATTCTTCCAATTTTTTCTTTCTAGATCCACCCTGACGATGAACAACACGGCACCGTCAACTAATCCGTTTGAATTACCATCAGACATCGCCGTTTTAGTGATTGGCGTCTTTGGCGTTATCACAAATGGAATTTTATTACTTGTTATGTTTTTGGATCCTTTGAAATGCTTTCGTCGGCCAAGCATGTACTTTGTTATAAGTTTGGCATTTTCAGATTTATCTACTGGTATAACATCGTGTCTGATTTCTATGCAAAAACGTGTCACATCGGAATACTTCAGAAAGTTTAATAACTCTTCAATATGGGCTAGTGTTGAGAACTCCTTCATTACAATACTACTAATGGCAATTGAACGTTTCATTGTCATCCGATATCCAATCAAAGCTAAAAGTATAATCACCACAAGACGTATATTCATAGCTATAGCGGTCACGTGGTTGGTGTCAATAGTACTTGGTGCTGGTGTGAGCTTTCCAAAACCTTATAATGATTACGTCATGTTTGGTTGTCTTATCGAGTGTTTTTTAATTATTCTTGTCATGCTGGGTATATATTTCAGAATGAGTGTTCTATTAAGGAAATCATCAAAGATTTTTCGTGGAAAACAGTTTACTCGTCATGGCAGCTGTGAGCCTGGAAAGAAACCTAAGAAAAATGCTACTTACGAACGTAGTCTTAACATGGTCGTATTCTATCTGGCACTAGTTCTTATTATAACCGTCTTACCTCACTTATTAATTGGACAAGTATACTTGGGCTATACTTTGTTTTACCCAACACTTCCTCGGCCTGTTTCACTTCAATATGCTCCATATATATCATTTCCAGTCGAGTTGCTGAATTTTGTCCTAAACTCAGTAATTTATGCCTACAGATTACCGCAGTTTCGAACAGCATTGTGCTATTATCTTAGAAAAAAAAGAAGAAATGGGCGTCGTGAAGGATCTATTTCGATCTTCAGTCGGCATCGAAATTCATCGAAAGATGACCGTACTAGTGATGTCATGATATAATTATTGATCTTTTTCTTTGTGCACATATTGCTTCAGATTTGAGAAGAATTATGTCATTATTTTGAAAAGAACAAGGAAAATAGACGTCAGTTTGGAACTATTTCGACATTGAGTTGACATGAGAATTCATCGAATGGTAACCACAATATTGAAGACAATCAATCAATCAAACTTTTATTACTGTATACCTCCACAATTACAAAATGTCAAGGTACGAGGTGGCTAAGATGTATTTCAGTTGATGTAGTGGACTAAACTCAAGTAATTACATATTCATTAGTATATGTATAATCACACGAGTAGGAGTGCAATTAATGATTAACACTACGAGTGATATTTGACAAATCATTAATTGCACTCCTGGAGAGTACAATTAATGATGGTAATAGAACGAATAGGAGTGCTATTAATGCCATAATCATACGAGTGATTGCAAAATCAACCGACCGCGTAGCGGGAGGTTGATTTGTTAATCACGAGTATGATTATGGCATTAATAGTACGACTTAATTCGTTCTATTACTTATTAATTATTTATCTTCTGTAATCAAACTGTTTAAAGGGGAAAAGCACAAAAATACAATTTGTTGAAATTCAATATAATTATTAAATTTTTGTCACGACAATTCTTAGTGAATAGTACAATTTTGAATCAAATTTATCATAATCAAATTAACATATTATTAACTTCCGGGTATTATTTCCGGTATAATCACATGTAGGCATGTCCCGATTGTGCTCGGCAACTTTTGGGCAACTTTTTGCGTTTGGAGCAACTTTTTTCGGTTCGAGCAACTTCAAACAACTTTTTCCTTTTTGAGCAATTTTTGAGCAACTTTTGACTAGAGTTCAAACTTTACAGTATGAAATGTTTGCATATCATAGACAACTTCATTTCCTTGCTTCCCACGAGAAAAGACCCTGGGTACGAGGTTGCTTCATTTTCTGGGATATTTTTCTGATAAAATAATTTGGAAAATCAGTTAAATATGGCAATATGCTAAAATGCTGCTTATTTGCCATTGATATTTACTTGCTATAGGGTTAATATCTGTATTCTCTTGAAAACAAAATGGCGGTTTATAAATGCTAATATTTATTATGACTGAACTAAAAGTCCATCATCAAGGCACTGATAAAGGCACAATATGTGTGATAATGTTTATTGTATAGTTATTGTATTTGTATATTATCATTTTTATTTTATATAATATAAACGTTTTTTGACATGAGACACGGAGTTATCGGACTACTCCAGACTAGAAAAAAATAGTGTATTAGAACGCAGAAACACAAAACTTGTGACGTTACTTTGTACTTCAATCATAAGATTTACTCCAGGTAATCTCACATATTGTTCAGCAAAATGTTAACTTTGTATGACTTTTGTTTTGTTATTTGTTAATCTTTTGTAAAGAAAAAGTTTTCTGTTTATAATTCCAAACAATTTATCCTGGAGTGGCCTACGGAAATTGTATAAAGCTTTTGTCGTTTTAATTAACATATGTCGTGAAATGAACGTAATGTGTACGAAAAACTTTTTGAGTTTTTAGAGAGCAACTTTTTGGTTCTAGAGAGCAACTTTTTGGGATTTTATGAGCACAATCGGGACATGCCTAATCACATGACAACATTGTTTGAATTATTCAACACACAATTTAAATTTGGAAGCCATGTTTTCAAGTTTATAACGTGTTCAAAATAGTGAAGTTATTTAGTTCAGTTTAATCTGAATCTGATTCAAATATAACCGCTGGTTGGGTCTAGTTCGGTGTCTTCTGCTGGAAGAACAGGTAGGTCATTTTCATCAGAAAATATATAATTTAACAGTCCTCGAAAACGGGATCGGCATATTTCGGCAATGCCGACCTAAATACCGACCTATCAACCTCCCAGGTCGATTTTTTGTCGACCTTAATTCAGCCAAAGTAAGAATTTTTTTTGTGCTGATAGCTGTTAAAAAGTCAGCGTTTATAGAATTCGATACACTTTGGTGTAAGGTTTAAGAATTAACGGGTATTCTATATATGATTTAGGTAAGACTCTAAAAGAAAAGCCTTCGTGACATTACTTTTCAATGATTCGTAAATACGTGATTACTTGTGCAGGCTACTAGTGCTCCAAGACATGGAAACAGATTTTAAAAAATGCCGTGATGTGCATTTTCATTGGCTGTAGACAAGAGTGCGATCACAGCTCAGAAAAGGTGCGATTAATGCTCAAATCGCACTCCTGTAAACCAATGAAATTGCAGTATTTGCCACTGATTACAGAAGATAAATAATTAATGAAATAATTGCACTCCTCTTAACCAATCAGATTGCAGTAATTTTGTCATGTGTATAATAAATTAAAATAAAAGCAGCTCGTTATTAAAGCATATAGCTACAATGGCGATTGGTACAGTTAAGGATAATTGAGTGTCGATTTTGTTGAGTGTCGAGCCATTGTTAAATGGCTATATTTAATTAAAACCAGGAACGGGGAATCGGAATAGGAAAAGCCGGAATCTTTAAAATCTGGAATTATGAGAAAAAGTCGGAATCTTTAAAACCCAGAATGAAAAAAGCCGGAATCTTTAAAACCCGGAATGGGAAAAGCCGGAATCTTTGAAATCCGGAATGGAAAAAGCTGGAATCTTTAAAACCCAGAACGAGAAAATACGGAACTTTAAAACACGGAATTATGCCAAGTTTTGGCAGGATTATCGGTCTCTTTTGCGCCTCGTGTCAGAGCCTCGAACAAAGAAGTAAAACAACCTCAAGAAATGTTATGCAAGGCTGATATTCTATATTCTGCATGGAGGAAGCACAGTGAAGGTTAGTTTTTATAGCGAATACAATTATCAATACTGTTGAATTGAAGCTCGATTTTGATATACGGTGTTTTAATATGAAGTATGAAACCTGGTTCGAATGAAGAAATTCTTCAAGAATTTCTGGATGATACTTTGAGAGGTCCTCAACCTTTCAGTTCAACAGGTTAACAATTAAATTGGGGCGAATATGCATATTCATAATAACTTAATCGTATAAATCTTATAAATATGCATAAAGGATTAAAGCCGCTAAAAATACCTGAAATATGTGTATTCCGAATTGTGCCTCCAAATAAGTACGGAACAGCAGGTGGGAAATTTGTCGTCGCTGACCAAAAAATCGCGGGCAGAAACAAAGCTCCATTCAAAACAAAGCAGAAAGTTAGCAAGAAGCTGTTTTAGCTGACGACTTTTTGCTTTCCATTCAACGATTCATAAATTAACGGTTATTTTTTTAAATATCGATCATGAATTCTTTGTTTTGGGATGATTTTTTTTTTGTAATTGAGTGATTGGAAGAAGTGAATATGGCGACGTGAACATGGGAGTAAATACCGTATACGTCGAGCTAAGACTTGCTTAAAACCGTAAAAACGAAGAAAACCGTAATATGAGAATGAAATGTAAGTTGAAATTTATTTTATATGTCTCAAATTGTCCATCCTATGTTTCTTAATATAACTTCAGCGGTCTAAGTTCAAAATACAAGCTCGCGAAATTTGACAAATTTTGAAAATATGTAAAAATAGCTTGACTTTGAACTGTATTTTCTCAAAATTGGCCCGTGGCCTCAATTTCAAATATAGCTAAATGAAAAGAAAAACCTTTCGGCGTTTGTAGGTATTAAACATATCTTCAGGAAAATAGGGGCTCACAATGTTTTAGCCAGGGTTTATTTTAACGTGCAGTTCTACACAAAATGTGCAGTTCTAAACCCATTTGTGCAGTTCTTAAAACTCAAATGTGCAGTAACCAAATTAACGAAAATCTAACCCCAAAACAGTCTTCTCATTTACTCGTTTTCCTTGTGGATGCTGAGATGCTCCAATGCAATATTGGCTTATTAAAAAAATAAATGGGACAAATTCTGTCAATTTTGTGGGGAATTGTATCAATTTTGTGGTTAATTTTGTGATTTGTGGAAACTTTTTTTGATGTTCCGGAAAATTTTGGTATGTGCAGTTCTAAATTTTTCTTAGAATAAACCATGGTTTTAGCTAAGTCTTTGAGATCCAGTTGCTTCGCACGTGTTGTGGTCAAATTTTTGCCAAGAATCAAAGGCCGAAAGGTGCACTTCGAGAAGGGTCTAGTTTGAAAATTTAGCTCTTAATTAATTTCCATTTCATCAGCATATTTTGGTTACACGTTAAATATTTTTGTACTTGATGAGATTCAAAATTTGTTGTATATTCAAGCCCGGCTTCAGTGTAATTTTGGTGATGACCGGAAAAGAATTGACGATATTTTAAAAACTGGCCGTGGCCTCTCGATAAAACTTTCTAAAAATGTTCTCTGTTTCATGTATTTTTATTTGATATCTTAGGTATGAGCGTAAAAATAGGGGCTCATACAGTTTACGAGGTTATAAAATGCATGACTTGTCTCTATTTTCATGTAAACATTCGAAATGGTTGGACAGCAAATTAGCAACTGTTTCAGATCGAATGCACACAGACAGCACACCAGGGACAATGGCAGGGTATTAAAATAGAACATCAGTATAAAATTCTGTATGATTAATTTAGATCATGTCCATTTTCAACATAAGACAGTCATTTATTTTGTACCAAAACATTTGGCAATATTTACACAATTGCGGCTTTTTGTAAACACGCGTTGCGTGTATTCCACGCAATTGCGTGGCTTTTTTTGCTCGCGCATGTTCAGACAAATTTCCCAGGCGCGAAGCGGTTGGTTTTGTTTATTTGTTTTTGTGATATGCATTGTGCATAGTATGTTTTGCGTGCGAAAGACGGAGAACCATTGTCCTTCTGTTCAGGCAACACATGCTGTGCTTCTGTCCTTCACACGGAAAACATGCAAATTCCGGTTATATAGTATTATAGAATAGTTTTTGGTGAACTATATTCAAACTTATGTTTAGCACAGCAATCATTTTTATTGTTTACAAAATTGCTTTCACAACTTACAGTATTTCACACAGATTATATTTTTGAGTATTCTGCCCCAATGACAATTAATGCACCCTACTTTATTATTTTAACATGATATGTCTCATACCAGTCGATTTTGCTTGTCAAGGGGAGAGTGCTGCCGCTCTCAAATTCGTTAGGTTTGTATTGGAGGTAGATTGCTCAGTTTTGAAGTTTTTTTAGTATAATGACCGGCCCAGGTTAGGATTTATAGAATCAATAACACAGTACTAAAATGCGGTGCCCTACAAATAAAATTTCCGGCGTTTCCGCTTACAAGTAAAGTTTATATTTAGTACGCTACATCCTTCTGTCCGCCGCCAGTTGGTCCGTACGCTAGGATTAAAAAATACTATCAAAATGAAGAGAGAAGTGAGACAAATCCACTGGTATACGGCCGAAAAAGACAAAACCAACGATACCAAAGTTACTGGTTACTGATCAAGGATCAAACGCTCTGCATTTTTTATAATTAGTCTAACTAACAATTTTGGGCGATTTGTCAACAATACAATTTCGCTGGGCGCTTTGAAAAACAAAGACGACAAAGGCCATAAATCGCTAGAATAATGTTGTTTAGTAATACATTTGACATCCGTAAGTACAATTTCTTACGCTGAATCGAACGGTGGTATTTTTATCCTTATTGCGCCATTAGGCATTACAAATCATTGAACTATAAGTAAACTATATAGTTTACAGTTCAATGTTACAAATACAAGGACAAACGTACTGCGAGTGATTTGTCTGTCACTGTACATTAGTACTCGTTAGGCATTACAATATCATATTTCACACTACAGTTTTCACGTTCCACAGCTGACTATTGAGGACTGTTGTTGCGTAAATTTAGTATATTGATATGACACCAATATGCTTCTCATAAAGTAGTTATCTATTAAAACTATGTTGTGTAGTTTAAGTTATAACTTTTACCTTGCAATTGTCTTTGGCTCGTTTATATTCAGATTCAGTATATTATGATCGTGGACGGGAATTCAAAGATCCAAATTTCGGATTTTCAGAGTCGTGCACCAAGAAAAATGCATTAACTAAACTAGAAAAAATGCCCAGTGTAACATGGCAGTGTTATACCATGTTATTTAATATATTCAATACTATATTCAATACTATATATTCAGTATACTGTTATAATTATAAGAGGAAGACCTTAGGCAACCTTCCTCGCATGAATAAGCAAATATTTAGAGAGATTAAAGAACCACGGGAAACGCCTAGTACCACAAACCACGCAAACAGGACATAGTTTTGTGGTTGATAAACACTGCTAGAACTTGCTTTGACAAACATATTGCGTAGAGGAAATTAGTCATAGTTACAGATTTCTTCCTCTAAAATTTATTATAAAAGCTGAGCACAACCTGAGAGTCGAGAGCGGAGAGTGAAGTGAGAAGAGCCATTTAGGCTAAAATACTTCATAAGCCAACAAAGGCTGAAGTATATAATTAAAAGGCTAGATAATTAAGCCTCGTCAAGTAAACTGAAGAACATTGAAATATTGTGGAATAATTATTATTAAAGAAGACGGAATACAAAGTATAAAGAATAAAGATTCAAAGTTGTGCTCAGCTCAAACAAATAGAGAGATAAGTTGATATATTAAGATTACTATATTATTATAACATTATAGAGACGCTAATTCATATTGTTGAAAGTAAATAAAATATATAAAAGGTATAAGGTTTCATGCTATTTGTGTTACGGTAGCGTTAATATAATTTGAACCCGAAGCCTAAAGGTTGAAAATATACCTAATTGGAAAATATATTTGACGCATAAATAACGCACCATAACACCAGAGTCAGACACAATGCAAAATCCATAGAAAACAGGTACAATTCGTTGAAAATTTTAACGAAATTGTTGGAAACATTTTACCCACTACACGAAAGACCGCCATTTTGAAAAGGATAAAATTAAGCAGCTCATTAATATTCTATTTTGTCTAGTCCCAGTCGTTCTGAAGCAAGCGCGAGAAAAAAGTGGATGTAGTACGAGACTGGGACCTAGGTGTGACGTCACCGCTCAAGGTGCTTCAGAACGCCTAGCAGATTTCAGTATTTTTAATATGGCGGAAAAATTATATATACAAGTAACCTTTTAATTATAAATACGACAATGTTCGTTCATCATGTACATGTTCGATGTCTACATAACCAAATCAAACTGTATTAAAAATGTGCTCAACTAAAAAAAAATTATATACAAATTTACGATACCGAGTTTGAGCAATCGTTGATGTTATTTATGTACTCGCAAGTTGTGATCAACACTAGACCATACTGGTATACACAACTACGCTTTCTACTTGACAGGTTTAAATTGCTGAGGAGATTGGAAATATTTGCCTGACATGACGGTGTTGTCAAAACATTCTTAGTCAGAGACTCGGCATAATTTTCAAGCTTCTAGATAGCATTTAATATGGCTATTCCATTCTGACCGTATGGTAGCGAAACGTAGCCTATTTCATTGTTCCGACAGCACTAGAGCAAAACTAATGACTTAATTATAAATGCAAAGGAAATTTCCATAACATTTTCCATTTACAAATGAGGTATGCTTGGTAACCAGGCCAGGGACCACTTTTTTGAAATCAGGGACCATTTTACCGAAATCTGCTAGGCTCTCTCGCTGAAGCGTTCCGCACAGCACACCCAGGCATAAAACTTTTAAGACTTATTTAAATATATCAAAGCAGCGAATAGAAAGAGAGCCTGGGACTAGGCTGTGTCGAAACCTATTCTCGTCTGGGGCACAGAGTGCCCCAGCGAGTAATAAACTATAATCACAATTCACAACTCGCTGTTTTCAAAATCCCAAGTCACAGTCCCAACATTTTCACTCCCCCCTGTTTTCTTGCACGTGTTTCGCAATCCCCTACAACTCTAACGCCCGTATTCTAAAAGCTCACTCACACTCAATGAGTGGAGGTTCAATCTGAGCTTCTCTTGAGTGTCAATGCTGTTTTTGAATAGCTGGAGGGTGAGTAGTCACATATTAAGGTACGACACTAACCCTCCAGCTATTCAAAATTTGCACTGGCACCTAAGAGAAGCTCAGATTGAACCTCCACTCATTGAGTGTGAGTGAGCTTTTAGGATGTGGGCGTAAATGTCCATTGTTGTCCTCCAAAATACATTAAATATCTAAACCAAAATAACATCAATTTCCAACATCCTCCCCCCATGTGACTCAGAAAGAGTCACATGTTATACTACAAAAAACCCGATGTCTCAATGTTTAATTGTCACTCGTTCATCTCATCCAGTTCAAACAGTTCCTTATTCTTTGCTTCTGCTTTGACCGCTGCTTGTCGTCTTGGCTTGAATTATTTTGCATTGGTATTCAATTTCGTCTCGCGTTTTCCCACGTCGAATTCCAGTTCCAAGTGATAAATTAGTTGAATCGGTCTTTCTATAGACGATTTACCGCATTGAAGCTTAATAACTCCCCTTAATCTTCCCCACGAATTAACTTCGTAACCTTTCCCATTTTCCACTTGTTTCTGGATCTGTTCTTCTCTTCGCCTTTAATCAGCACAATATCTCCTTCCTTGGGACAAACTGCAGTTGACTTGATGTTGGTCTGATGACACTGCCGTAAACTCGTCAGGTACTCTCTTTGCCATCGTCTCCATAGATGGTTCTTTACACTTCGTAAGTACCTTGCCCTTTTTCGTAGATCACCGTCCTCAATAATTATGACAACATTCTAACTCTGGCACAACATTCGACTGTTGTGACACAAACGAATTTGTGTAAGAATAGGAAATTCATTAATTCAATTCCATCCTCTAAGTAGCTCAGTGGCCGGTTATTCATACAGATTTCTACATCTAGCACAACTTCCGACAGCTCTTCAAATGTCAAAAGTCCTTTACCGATAACCTTGCAAAAGCACATTTTAATATTCCGATTAATCATTCAAATTGTCCGCCCCACCAGAGCGCACGTGACAAATTGAATCTCCACTTGATCTCATACTTGCTCAGTTCACTGTGGAATTTCTCATCTTTCATCACCTTGTTTAACCATGACGCAGCCGCTTGGAACGTTCGCATTGTCCGAGTAGATAAGAGACGGCCGACCTCGTCTGGCGATTAGTCTTTTGAGACTTCGAAGGAACGAGGTTGTTTCAAGGCTCTTCCGGAACTTCTAGGTAAACTCCTCGAATCAAACAACATGTAAATAGGACTAGGTACGCTTTTCCTTCTTGGGTTTTCTTAACTCTATACGTGATTGGGCCGGTGAAATCGACTCCAATAACTTTATAAGGAGTAGTCCCTTCCATTCGCGTTGTTGGTAATGGTGCAGGTGTTGGAGCTTGATAACGTTTGGTCATGAACTCTTGCATCGCGCGCTTCCTTTCGCGACTTTTATCGAACTTTAGCAGCGACTACGAGTACGAGTCAGTGAACTCTAATAAGGCTGGAACGATAACTCGGCCGCCATCTTTGAAGCCAAATTGAAGGCAAATTACACCATTAAAAGAACGCCGATTTCTTTACACAAGAATAAAGGCTTTGAACAAGAATAAAGGCTTAAATTAAAACAAACAACAATACTTGAACTTTACTCCAAAACAAGTTGTGTAAACGTAGAGAGATTTAAACCTTATTTTTTGTGAGTTGAAGAGCGAAGTTTTCTTCGGCAAGTTCAAATTTCATTGCTAAATATTTCAAATATAAAGCTGATACCTCAAAAGTTTTTGCAGCTAGTTGATACAGAATACTTAGAACTATCCAGAAAACCAAGTTTAAAGCTTTGAAATTGAAATCTTCGGACGAAAAACCTAATTCTTCGGCGTATTTTTGCTGAAGAAACAAAGTTACGAGGAAATTGAACTCTCCCCAGTTCTTGTTTGAAAGTCACAGCTTCTCCCGGGCGCCAAATCACAAATCGCAAATCACGGGGGTTTCTACGGAAAAATCGATTTG